TACTAGTCACAGTTGTTTTCAATTCCTGGTCTGACAATTCCAACATCCCTGCCATAAGTCTAGCTCTGGTGCTTGCTCTGCCTCTTTAAACTGTTTTATTAATTAATTAATTAACTAACTTTTCCTTTTAGTATGCCTTGTGAATTTTTTCTTTATTTTCTTTTTCCCAATTCTTTTTTCCTTGATGGCTGGACAAAATGTACTGGGTGAAAGGAACGGCTGGGCCTTCGGTAAGGTGGTGGCCAGGCGTAGGGGGCGGGTGAGTGATCAGATCGGCCTTTCAGGGAGCCTGCGTGCTTCTGCGCTGTGAACTTCCCAGAGGCTTCTCGGTTCCCCCTCCAGTCCCATCAGGTGGCTGGTGAGAGTGGGCTGGAGCTGTGCACCTCCCTTCCTCCGCCTGGAGGACTAGAGCTGGCTGGGGTTGGGTATTTCCCTTCCTGGAGGAGGCCAGTTAGGCTCTGACAAAACCCCAGCTGGTTAGGCTCTGGTTAAAATTTTGAGTTTCTCCTGAGGGCAGATCCTATTAAGAACAGCAGGCTCTGGCTCTTTTCAAAGTAGTTCCTTCTATCTGCCCTGCCTGAAGCATGAAGGGGATTATTCTGTTTATTGTGAGGGCCTGATTGAGCTCCAGGAGGTGAAATGCACAAAAGTGTGGCCGTTCCCCTGACCGCCTCCCTCCCCAGGACTGGGTCCCCTGAAGCTTTTATCTCTCAGACTTGTCCTCACTGAGCCGGCAGCAATTCATCAATTACAGTTCAGGTTTCCCTACCTGGGCACTGGTTTCCCGTGGAGGGTTCTGCTCTATTATTTGTCTGTCACGCTTTCCAACTTTGGGGGCAGTGGCATGTCCTGTAACCTGGCTTATCTTACAGATCTAAGAGTTGATGGCTTTCCAGCTTGGTGTTAAGATGGAGTGAGCATTTCCATGCTTCTTATATGCTGGAGTGGAAACACATCAATTTCATTTTTTAACAGAAAAATGATTGAATGGATGGATCCTGTGCCTGTCCCCCTCCTCCCCACACTCTCCCCTAACTCCCCCAGGAAACACAGTGTTCGGAGGACAGGGTGTCTGCCTTCATCCCTCCACACCTACTGAAAATTATATTTTACTTATTTATTTAGAAGGTCTAATCAGCTATATTGAGCGACTTGTGAATCTGGCAGCATCCTATTTAGCAACTAGAAGGGGGATCCCCTTTATTATTTTATTTTATTTTATTATTTTATTTTATTTTATTTTATTTTATTATTTTATTTTATTTTTTATTTTATTTTTAAGAAAAATTTTTCATTGCGTCACAGCAGTGAGTTATTACCAAATCTGGATCTGCAATATCTAATCTCTATCTAGCATGTCTACCCGCACTACTAGTTTCTGTGATTGATTGTCTGATTCCCCCATCAGACTGGGGGCCATGATTAGAGGTGGCCCTGCCCCAGTGTAGGGGTTTCAGTTAGAAGTCACAGGCACCAGCTGAGTCACCAGGAGCCCTAGGGTGACGCCCAGGACTGGAGCCTCCTCTGGGGCGCAGGCCCCTCACTTTTAGAAGCAGAAGCTACACAATGGTGACCTCTAGTGACCAAAGGAAGAAACTGCAGTGGCCACTCCTCCCAGTGCAGAGAACTGACCAACTTAACCCCTCCCTGCTTTCCTCCAGGCACCTCACATAGAGTATTACGCAGTCTGTCCTTGGATTTATAACATCTACTTCTACAAGGTGGACAACCTCATTCCGACTTTATAGTTGAAGGAAGTGGGGTTCAGAGAAGGGGACTGGTTCCCTGAGTTCCTGCAGTGTGAGAGGCAGTGCTGAGATCCACCCCAGGCGTCTGAGGCCAAAGCCTTTTTGCTCGCCCACCAGTCCCCTGCTCCTGAAAGTGTGGTCCCAGAACCAGAGCATGGGCAACGCTGGGAGTGTTAGCAATGCAGACCTCAGGCC